AGCCTACGTGAGAGCAGCTCGGGGCTTAGACGCCAGTCGTATCCATAATCGTGGACACGCATGTCGCCACGCAGGGCATTTTCGCTTTTGCGCAGACGCTTCATCAATCGTCGACAGACGTCCACTGGGCCAACGTGGGAGAGAACCCCAGATGGAATGATGGTCTCCTCCATGCGTTCCTCGTCCTCTGGGTTCAGACCGACCTCCAAATCTACTTTCCGCAGATTCAGGCCAACCTTCATTGGCACCCAAAGCTGACGATTGGGCGGCTTAGCAGATCGCAGGATTGATCCTCGGTATCCTCCTAGAATCACGACATCGCCCGTGAGCTCTGCCATTGCTTCTTCCAAGATTGGATGTGTTATGTTAGGATTGTTCCGCGGAGTTGGCGGCGGGGTTGCAACCCGCGGTGGTTGCTCCCCTTTACAAGTACCACTGGCACCGTTGCTGTTATTTGATGAGCCGTTTCCAAGATCTGGCAGGAATGGACGAGAGCTCCAATCAGTGCGAATATCCTGCAGATGGAGATTGGGCATGCTGAGCAGCCTGCTACTCGAGTCTTGGAGACTATCCTTGATTGCCTTGAAGCGGCTGTTTACCTGAGTATGCACATTCTCGTACAATGGTCGCTGCTCTAGGGATGATGCCGTAGACGACGCACGTAGATACAGCGATTGATCCGACGAGGACCTCCGCAGACTTGGCGGTCGACCGGGCATCGCTGAACTAGGCCTCCGTATAAAGGAATGTTTCGCGGCTGATGTTTCACCTGGTGAGCGTAGCTCAGGTATCGGCTGAGCGGGTTCTCCATCATCTTCAATGCTAGAGCTGCTTGGTCCAAGAGTTGATGGCGGCGGACGCAGGACCAGCGATGAGGTTCTTTTCGGCACCCCCGAGTTCTTTTTCACTGTGGGAGCTACCGTCTGGCTGCGGATTCGGTTTTGGCCATTGTGGGCACCGAACGGGAGAGAAGGCCGTTTCCTCAAAGAGGCCAGGTCAGGCAGGAATTTCTTAAACTCGCCAGACCAGGCGCGTGGTCGGCGAGGCAATGTGTTCTTCAATAAGTTCCCGACAAAGCCAGACCGCTGGCTCACGGCTGTATCTTTCGACCCAGCCTTTTCAGGAGCCGAGGCAAACAGATCGCTGCGAGGACCATGCGCAAGATGACCTGGGCCGGGCTGTGTATACCGCGGAGAGGGGTATGATGCCCGAGGCTTATGTCCGGACTTTCGTTCGCTCGGTGCCGGCGCTGGCGCTGGTGCTGATGCTTTTTCGACCTTGGGTTCCACCGACTCTGGCTCGGCCGTGAGCTCCGATGCAAAGAGACCATCCTCGCTGATAGTATCCGGTATGGTGGTAAAATATGACCCCTGGTGTTCCAGCACGCGATTCTTCTCTTCCACGGGGGTTGCTCGGGCCTTCAAACGGCTCTGTTCGCGCCCGATGCTAACCCCCACCACGTCGCCGGCGGCATCTTCATCGGTGACCTCGATCGAGTGCGGGAGTGGTTCGTCGCTGTCGGAGCTGGAGAAGGACGAATAGTGGGAGGGAGAGTCTGAGACGATCAGATTCGAGGAGGTCTCCGATGAGTACACTGTCTGGCTCTGCGGTTGTGTTGAGGCGATCGCCGTCGCAGCAGTTTCTGGAGCCAGACGTGAGGGATAGGGTCGGTCGGCTGGAATTGAGGCCATAGTGAGTTATGCCGAGAAAAGAGAAAAGCTCTGAAACCAGGTCAAAGCAGGTTGTACGAGTGTGTAACTATCCCCAAACTTGGCATTGGGTGTATGATGCACAGATGTGGGGCACACAACGTGGAGTTATAGATTGTAGAAGGTTCCTGGTGTTCAGTATATCTGTACAAGGTATATTTGAGTACTTGAAGAAGAGTGTTGTTTTATTTTTTTCGATGCGTTCATAAACCGGAAACAGGTGGGTTCCACCACGCACAGCCTTCTCGGGTCCGTCGGATGTTGACAAAAAGTTTATGAGATCGTTTGGATATATTTAGATAATTGGAGAATAGAGGAATAAGAACTTTTAAGAATTGTTAAGCAAATGCTTGGCCTACCAGGTACATGTACTTATATTGTACCTATGAATCTCTTTCTATTACTCCGTACATTTATGTATCTACATGCATGATCGACATTCCCGTTGAATCTGGGGGATGTCTTGACTTTTGATCTTGTTTTTTGCATGTGAAAATGGACTTTGAATGGTTTTGAGAGTAAGGAGATAACAGTACATTCTGGGAACATATTCCTGTTTTAATAAGTCAACACATATTTCAAGGTTATATCCATTTACGAAATATGCACAGATAATACGGAGTACGCGTATACAATCTATCGATTCCGCGTAAACCGACCGGACCGAATCTCCTCCGCGCCCTTATTCGCAATCTCTTGATTCCGCTCGGCACCCTCATCAGATCCGAAAGCCCGATCAACAGCCGTATTCAATGCCCCACGCAATGACTCGCCAGCACCCTATCCCACAATCAGAACCCTACTTCCCAAGATCAAAAGTACATCAACTTACATGAACCGACGCCGCAACGCCCTTCACTTTATTTCCAAACCCCTCACCAGCCCGTGCAGCTCTAGAATCCTCCATTTCCGCCCGCTGCGCTGTACTGGCCGTGTGTGGGAGCGGCGCATCCCCTACAATTCGGTCATCGCTGCGAGACGGCGACGGTGAGAGTGGTCTCTGGTGGGTCTGGCTTGGTCCACCTGCTGATGACCGCGAGTAACTAGCTCCTGTGGCTGGATTATAGCCCTTAGTTTCGTCGTACTGGGATCGTGTGTCGTGGAGACCTGTTGGGAGTCCTGGGGCGCCGGTAGAGGAACCACCACCCACTGCGCCGCGGGAGGTGTGGGTTGGATCGGCGTGTTCATAGCTTTGGTATGCTCGTGACATGATTGTATATATATTTGATTTATTGTTGGTATAGTGTTACCAGGAAGAATGTAGTCGACGTCCTTCCGGTTCTTCGGTTCATACTTCCTGGATAATGACGTCACGATGAGAGCATACAGATGTATAAATCCTCTTAGCCCTCGAGCTATCACAAAGCTGCAATGTATGCATATATCTTTTTTATGTCCAGTCAAAAGCAAAATAATGCATCCCCAAGAAACTGATTATTCAACAACTTCTACTTCCATCTCTGGTAGCCGGGGAAAAGCCGAGGTCCAAGGAGCAGTTTTCCTAATATGGAGCAGCTCCGATGCTACATAGATATTTTTATATCCCCGCCTTTTTCTCCCTATTTACAACACAGCTTCACCTTTAACTCATAATTCCCCAACAACCTCCAAAATGTCCAACAAACAAATCATATACACCACCCCGCCCGCCCCGGCCATCGACCCCTCTCTCACCAGTGGCACCTTCCGCCTAAACACCATCCCCATCCCCAAAGATGTCCCCACAGATAAACTCCTCGTACGCGTGCACTACCTCTCCCTTGACCCAGCCATGCGCCAATGGCTCACCGCCAAACGCTCCTACATCGCCCCCGTTGAGCAAGGCGCCGTGATGCGCGGCCAGAGCATCGCCCAAGTCCTCGTCGTAGGCAGCGACCTGACATCGAAGTACAGCAAGGGCGACTGGGTCGTCGCCGGCTCCGGCTGGCAGGAGTACGCGGTGGTCGACGCGAAAGAAGCACAAAAAGTGACCGTGCCCGCTGGCGGACGGCCCACGGATGCAATGTCAGTGCTTGGCATGACCGGGCTGACGGCCTACTTTGGCATGGTTGAGATCGCGCAGGTGAAGAAGGGTGATACGGTTGTGGTTTCTGGTGCTGCGGGCGCGACGGGCATGGTGGCTGGCCAGATTGCGCGCATTAAGGGCGCTAAGCGTGTTGTGGGGTTGGCGGGCAGTAAGGAGAAGTGTGATTTCTTGGTTAAGGAGTTGGGCTTTGATGCTGCGGTCAATTATAAGGATTCGGATTGGAGGAAGCAGCTTAAGATCGCTACACCGGAGTATATTGATGTCTTCTTTGATAACACTGGTGGTGATATCCTTGATGCTTGCTTGGCGAGGGCGGCTCAGAACTCGCGCTTTGCTATCTGTGGCGCTATCAGTCAGTATAATGCTGCCAAGCCGCAGGGTCCGGCCAGTTTTATGAGTGTGATTGTGAGTTCTTCTAGGGTTTGGGTGGATTTTTGGGGACTTGGGCTAATTGATCACAGTCGCAACGGATCACCCTGAAGGGTTTCATTGTCTTCGATTTCGTGAAGCAATACTCAGCTGCACTCCAGGAGCTCGGCTCTTGGTTGGCTGAGGGTAAGCTCAAGCGCAAGGAGCATATCGTGCCTGGTGGCTTGGAGGCGGCGCCTCAGGGTCTCATTGACCTCTATGCTGGTGCCAACACCGGTAAGATGATGGTTGAGGTAGCGCCGGTCAGCGAGGCGTTGGGTCCCAAGGCCAAGCTGTGAATGTACATCTTGATAGTGCGCGTTTCTAATTTCGGATCTTTTGTAGCATCATATGACAAAGCAGATGACAGGATGATTTTGATGCAGGCCATCCTAAATATATTTTTAGCACAAGCAAATTCTAAAATACGTAGCCAAGCTCACTTTGCTCTATACTACTTTACCTTCCTTTTTGCTCTATGTTTTCTATCTACTTGAGTATGGAAGTGACATCATTCTGATATATATAAGCCCTGTTACCATATCCATACTCTGATATTCAAGATTTAGCACACAGTTGATTGGGGCACATATGACCTACAAGTGATTGCATGGCCGCAGCAGTAAAATACGACTAGGATAGAATTTGAGCCTTTTTCCTACATGACTTACCCCGTTTTACTCATTTAGATATATCTAACAACCATGCCACGATTCTACATACCGGCTCTCAACAAGAGCCAAACGCCTCTAACATCAATTCCATCAACCCGAGTCCCCAAGCTCTCTCCTCTCCTACCTTCTCGTCAATTCGGAGTAAATCCTGCCAGAAAAGCTCCCGTTTCAGACAAGACAAAAATGACAGTGAATGAAAGCAACCAAAGCTTCAAGCTAGAAAACCTGTTTAATGTGAAGGACAAAGGTAAGCTATATATAACCAATACAATCCTACAACCCTATTTTAACAACACCAGTGGCCCTCATCACAGGCGGCGGCTCAGGAATAGGCCTAATGGCAGCGCAAGCGCTAGCCGTGAACGGCGCCAAAGTATACATAACCGGACGCACAGCAAAGAAACCCGACCGCGTAGCCACACTCTACGACAACAACGAAATAAGCGGTAAAATAATCCCCCTCCCAGGCGACGTAACCAACAAAGACGAAATCCGCAGACTAGTCTCCGAGATCTTCACGCGCGAAGGCCACCTCTCAATCCTGATGAACAACGCTGGGATATCCAGCTCAATGCAAAAAACCGAGCCAGAAGATGCATCAGAGCTCTGCGAGTCCCTCTTCGACAACCCAGCCGCGACATTCGAGGAATGGGAGTCTGTATTCCGCACGAATGTCTCGCAGCTCTTCTTTATGACAACGGCATTCCTGCCGTTGCTGCAGCGCGGCTCGGAGGTTGATCATGGTTGGTCCAGCACTGTTCTCAATACAACTTCCATATCTGGGATTGTGAAGATCTCGCAGCACCATTTTGCGTATAATGCTTCCAAGGCGGCGGCGATTCATTTGACCAAAATGCTTGCGCACGAGATTAGTTCGTCGAAGCTGCGGGTTAGGGTTAAATTGCTCCTGGGGTTTTTCCTAGTGAGATGACGACTGGGGAGAGTGATTATATGCAGAAGAGTTATATTCCGGTTGAGAAGTATCGGGAGAAGGTTCCTGCTGCTAGGCCGGGGAGAGATGAGGATATAGGTGGTACTGTGCTTTTTGCGGTTTGTAATCAGTACTTGAATGGGCAGACGGTTGTTGTTGATGGGGGATATGTGCTTGCTGCTGGGTCTGTGTGATTGGGAGTTGGATGGTAAGAGTTGTGGTTGTGTATAACAATTTGCTTTTTTGCTTGAGGGTATCTGAAAGAAAGCTAAGAACATATCAAAGGGGGCATCTTCAAACCACCAAGTACACATTGTAAAGGGGCATCTTCAAACCACCAAGTACACATTGTAAAGGGGCATCAAATTGCAGCCTTATTCAATATCCCTTCGCTCCCGCTTCGCAAACAACCACACCGTTTATCCATTCCGATCGCAACAACTTCGTGGTTGTGATACGCTTCCAGGAACAGGGGTGTAACATTGCATAAATAGTATTGCGTCGTCTCTAAAGACCAGATATTAGTGACTTGTCTTCCGCACCGGAGCGCCCAGAAATAAACTATAACATACCTGCCCCAGAGTCTCGATGGGCGGGTATCCATCCTCCCCACAGCGAGAATGGAGGTACTCCAGATACCGCCCATCCTCCTGATTCGGACGCGCACTACGCCACAAAATCCGGTCGGTCACAAGCGCCATGTAAAGCATAGCAGTGGCCCAGACATCAGCGGGACGAGAATCACACTCACCATGGCTGTCATGATCATCACGACAGCGGGATTGAAAATGAAGCGCGAATTCTTCCGGAGGAATATACGGTAGTCTCATACCCACAAACGAAGCAGTGGGTGAGTTCGCAATCACAGTCTGACTACCATTTCCAGAAGAAGACTCAGAACTTTGACGACATAATGAATTCAACGGCCACGGTAGCACGAACGACCATGCACTTTGCGTAGGTGGCTGTGGTCGAGGGGGAAGTATTCCTCCAGCCCCGGCCTCAGCAGTCTCCTCCCAGATCCGCCGGACATGTCCATCGCCAAACCCAGCTAGCTTGACGGCTCCGTTGGCGGTAAGTAGGACTGTCTCAAGGCGCACATCGCGGTGTGCCGTGCCGTGATCGTGTAGGAAGGCGAGCGCGCGCAGGATCTGGGTTATTATACAGTCTGCTTCTTGGGTTGGGAGGGGACCTTTGCGGGATAGAAGGGTGTTTAGATCGCCGCCAGCGCAGTATGGCATTACAAGGCAGAGCTCGGCGCGTTCGTTGTGGAGGACATCTAGAATTGGGAGAATGTTGGGGTGGCTTGGATGCAGGGATGTTGAGTGGGAAGAGCTTGGGGGGCCTCTGAGAATGGACCGTCGGTATACTTTGATCGCGACGAGTTGGTTATTGGTATCTTTGTTTGCTTTTGTTTCGTGTAGACGGGTTGTGCTGTTCGAGCCATAGTGTACCATGTGGCGATACCGGCCGTATTTCTCTATGAAGGGGAGGTTTGGCGATGGGAATGTTGATCTTGATTGTGATCTTGATTGTGATTGAGTAGATATTGATGGCGTTGAGTCTCGACTTAGCAAGGGTTGCTCCTCTGTTGGAAATGACTCCAACAGGGGTAGATTGTTGTTCGTGATAGTGGTACTATTGGACAGGTGGTGTTCAGCTGAGAGCTTCCCTCGTATCAAGGTGTGGTGATGATCGACAGTTTGGGCTGGAGGACGCATGACGACGACTATTGGACAAGTGTGGTCACGACCCTTCTTGTATGCGGCTGCTGGGGTAGTTACAGCTAGGAACTTCAAAAAACCGAATAGAAAGAAACATCATATTTTGAGCAAGGCATCAAGCCAATGCCCTTTTATAGACTAGAATTGGAGTAAATGAGTGAATATTCCCCCTTACATATCCAGAGGAACAATAACGGAAGCACGGGGTAGCACGGGGGAGGAATGTTCAACTCTAACGCCTACATCACAGCTTTGCCATAGATAACTAGATTCGATTCCAGTCAATATTTGGGATATTCTGCGATTGGACAGGACAAACTGCTCAATTAAAGAGCGATTTAAAAAAATTTCGAATCCTTCGAAGCCGCTCTTAGCGAAATTGAAGAAAAAATTCGATTGCGGAAGCTTGTAGATTAATTCCGGGGAGTAGTGTGAGGTCTGAATTGAGTGCATTCTGTGGAGAGGAAAAATCCCTCATGGTCTCTCTTGGTCCCTCATGGCCGGGGATTAACACCGCACTTTTGTGGCTGTGTACTTTTCTTTTTTTTCTCGCTCTACTTTGTCTTTTTTAGGAAATCTGCGGCATTTGTTCTTATCTTTTTACCAAATGCAAGAAATTTCTTCTGTTTAATATCCAGGGAACTGGTAGCTGAACCAGAGGAGAAAGTTAGGGCTGTGTTCTGTATTGTCACATGTGTATCATTACTGGTTAATTATTGGCTAATTATTGGCTAATGATTGGCTATGGGACCATTTTCATGGTAATATTACACTACATCTTGTATATGTATGTAATGTATATCATGCCAGCTGACGGGTGTCATATATCGACAGAGTATAACCTTGGAAGGTATCATTTGGTTATGGTACCTGACTTTAATATACAAATCTCCGCAGTTGACCATGTACCTGTGGATCCCATGTATGGATGGTCGTGATCTTCTCTTTATTCCCTCATTCGATTTCCCAGAACCGGCAGGTCCCTCGTGGACTCGCGTGGCTACGTGATACAACATTTCTTGCGTCTGGCAGAACCTTCCCAATTCATATCTGAGCTTAACCAGCTTTGGTCTAGACATATCGGAGCCGCCCACCTGGGCAGACCCTGGTGCCTACATAAAAGGCTGAGGGTCGCACACTGCTTTTTTTCTTTAACACTTCAGCTACTCTTCATCAGTGTACTTATTTAGTCTCTGATTTCCCTCCAGGGCTATAGACACTCTTGCAGTGCTCTGATTTAGTGTCTGCTTTCTCCATCTTTCTCCTTTTGACTCTTTTCAAACTATTACCGTCCTCTTCCCTCCATCCTCTCCTCCATCCTCTCCTCCACGCTCTCCGTTTCAATCAATGGCACCCATGACTCCCGATAACAGCAAGAAGGACATCGATGTCGAGTCAGAAGGTGATACACTCAGAGATGATGAACGCAATGGACGTTCCATGCAGATCACCTTCGAGGGGTCCACACCCGCAGAAGGGTTCCGGTCTATCTACCAGCCGACTCAGAACAACCGTCCCCGCTCGATAAGTCGTGATACTATCCATAGCACCAGAAGCAGTATTCAGGGAATGCCCGAGCTACCAATTGAGTTCCGAACCATCTCCATCCAAATCTCGGAATCCCAGAATGCCCCTAAGGAGGCTATCGTCAGCACCACAGAGAAGCAGCCCCACCAAGACTACTTCGAGAGCTTGGACTTCCACATTATATCCACCGATAGCCTGTGTCGAGAGTTCAATGTTGATCAACGTACTGGACTAAGCTCGTCCTCTGCGGCCACCCGTTTGCAGCGAGACGGCAAGAACGTCATTGCCCACCATGGGGAGAACTATTTCAAGAAGATCTTCTTCTACATCTTTGGTGGATTCTGCTCTGTTCTTTGGGTCGGTGTCGTCATCTTCTTTATTTGCTGGAAGCCCCTCAGCAACCCACCCTCGGCTCAAAACCTTTCTCTAGCTGTCCTCATTCTCATCGTCATTGCCTTGCAGGCAGGCTTCTCAGCTTTCCAAGATTGGTCCACAAAGCGTGTCATGAACTCGATCCTGGATCTTCTCCCCGCAGAAGCCATGGTGTTGCGGGATGAGAAACTCATCCATCTTCCTGCCGCGGATCTGGTCGCTGGTGACATTGTTCACATTGGAATTGGAAACAAGGTCCCAGCCGACATGCGTCTTTTGTCAAGCTCGGGCGATGTTCGTTTTGATCGTGCCATTCTGACAGGCGAGTCGGACGAGGTTGAAGGTGCCATTGATTGCACCGAGACCAACTTCTTGGAGACTCGTAATATTGCCCTCATGGGAACCGGTGTTACCAATGGCAATGCTGTTGGTATTGTCGTTTTGACCGGCTCTCGCTCCGTGATGGGCCGTATCGCATCGATGACAGCTGGTGTCAAGCAAAAGACAACCTTGATTCAACGCGAGATCAATCGCTTCGTCACAATCATTGTCGTTCTTACAGTCTTCTTGGCTTTGCTCATCCTGTTCACCTGGCTAGGATGGCTGCGCAAGGATCACCCTTCTTACATGAGTGTTGTAGCCATGCTGAACAATGTCATGGGCTGCGTGGTTGCCTTCATCCCTGAAGGTATGCCTGTCGCCGTCGCATTGACCCTTATGATGATTGCCAAGAGGATGAAGCAAACCAATATCTTGCCCAAGGGACTGTCAACCGTTGAGACACTGGGCTGTGTGAATGTACTCTGCTCCGACAAGACTGGAACTCTCACTCAAAACCGCATGTTTGTCAAGTCACTCGGAATGGTCGACTGGGAATACAGCCTTGAGGATTTAGCTCCTGGCGAGTTCGGAACTGTTGATCTTCCCGAAGGCCTACGAAATATGCTGCAAGCATCAATCTTGTGCAATGACGCCACGTTCGACCCGACTACGATGAATCTGCCCGTTCAGGAACGTGCTGTCAATGGAAATGCTACAGATGCAGCAGTCTTGAGATTTGGTGACAGTGTTGGGTTGACATCCCCAACTGTCCTGGCCCCATATGAACGTGTGCATCAGGTTCCATTCAACTCAAAGAACAAGTGGATGCTCACCCTGCATCGTGATCCAAAATCCACCAAGGAGTTTATCCTCTACGTTAAGGGAGCACCAGATGTGCTGTTGGATCGTTGCGCCACTTACTGGTCTGCTGTTCACAACGCAGTTCGTCCACTCGACGTCGAGGCGCGGGAAAAGTTCTCGAACTTCCAGGCTAAACTGTCACGCCGTGCAGAGCGGGTGATTGTCATCTGCCAACGTCGTTACATTCCCCAATCTACCCCTGGCTCCAACGATTTCAGCAATGAGATGCTAGAACATGGTGTGCAGGATCTCACTGTTCTCGGTATCTTTGGCATTATTGATCCACCACGCCCGGAGACGGCCTCGACCGTCGCAGCTTGCCGCAAGGCGGGTATCCGTTTCTTCATGGTTACCGGCGACTTCGGGTTAACCGCGGCTGCTATCGCTCGTGAGATTGGAATCTATGACGGACAAGCTGAGCCGGACACCATCGGAGAGCTGAAGGATGGTCTCGACCCGTCGATGGAAGTCAAGGTTCCCAGGTCACGACACAGCCTGCTCCTTGAAGGACCTAGCTTGTCAGCTTTGACTCCAGAGGACTGGGAAACAGTCTGCGGCTACGATGAGATTGTTTTCGCCCGCACCACCCCTGAGCAAAAGCTTCGCATCGTGACAGAACTCCAAGCTCGTGGTTGTGTGGTTGCCGTGACAGGTGATGGTGTCAATGACGCCCCAGCTCTGCGTGCCGCAGACGTGGGTATCGCAGTCGGATCTGGCAGCGATGTGGCAATCGAGGCAGCTGATCTGGTACTCTTGGACAAGTTCGACTCTATTATTGAGGCCATTCGACTTGGTCGATTGGTCTTCCAGAACCTGCAGAAGGTCATCGCCTACCTACTCCCAGCAGGTAGTTGGTCTGAAATCTGGCCCGTGATCATGAACGTCTTCTTCGGCTGTCCTTCTCCGCTCAGTACCTTCCTCATGATCATCGTCTGTGTCTTCACCGATCTGTTCCTCTCTCTTTCACTCATCATGGAGAAAGAAGAATTCGACCTCCTCAGCCTGCCCCCACGCCGTCCAACCAAAGACCACCTCATCAACCTCCGCATTTACGGCCAGTCGTACCTGTTCGTCGGTGTGATGGAAGCCTTCAGTGCCCACGCCATGTTCTTCCTATACATGTGGCGCCACGCCGGTATCCCCTTCTCCGACCTCATCTTTGCGTTCGAGGGTTATTCCGAAGGCTTCCACGGATATACCGCGGACGAATTGAACCACTTCGTCAGCGTAGGCCAGTGTGTCTATTTCGTGACCCTGGTCATCATGCAATGGGGCAATGTCTTGTCTGTCCGCAGCAAGCGCATGTCCATTCTCCAAGCTGATCCAATCCGTCCAGCCCGTCGCAACCCATGGCTACCTATTGCCATTCTCATTTCGTTTATCATCGCTATCTTCGTCACTGAAGTCCCCGGCCTCCAGAACCTCTTCAGCACGGCCTCAGTCCCAATCGAGTTCTGGTGCATCCCGCTTGGTCTTGCACTGGGTGTCCTTTGTATGGATGAACTGCGCAAGGTCCTGGTCCGACTATTCCCCAAGGGACCTGTGGCTTGGGCTTCATGGTGATCAGACCTTGGAAATGATTTCCCATGAAAATGAAAAATGAAAATAAAAAAACCCAATGAGAAAGAAAACCAAGATGTCTGCAAATCCAAACTACGAGGTTGGCTATATCATATGCTTGTCATCATGTACATTGGCTGGCTTTGTTATCTGGTCGCCCCTTACTGCGAGACACTTGTTTGATCAATTTTACATGCAATATTTCAATGTTGATAGTTCCTTGTCACGATGATTTCATGGCTTTGACGAAAGCAAACGTGGAAGATGCCAATTGAGCCTGTTGCTAATAGATTTAATAAATACGGCTACCAATAAATAAAAAAATTATTTTATACGTATCTCTTTCCTAGATGTATTTCTTAATATAATTTTACTCTCTTCCGGGGTTTGCTTTTACCATCTATCTTATTGCCTTTCTTCTTAAAGCTTAAATTGGCCCACAATTTCATCAAATGGCGGTTTGGCCGAGTGGTCTAAGGCGATTGAGTACGTTTATCTTCCTAAAACAGACCCACCAACATTCACTAACAATTCCAACAGCTAGAAATCAATTCCGTTCGCGGGCGCATGTTCGAATCATGCAGCCGTCGTTGCATATCTTTTTGCTGAATCAAACAAGAACCGGTACTGGGATTGTGCCGTCTATCTTTTTTTATTCCATAGATCAGTCTTACAAGGTTGAAGCTATTTGTTTTACTTCGTAATGCGAAATTCGGAAACAGTCCCCTCTACCCAACACCAATACTACCTCCCCAACTATGAAAAGGAAGTATATTTTACCAGTGAAAACAATGTAAAGAGTGAATAAAGACCTGAATTGTTTGTAATACCACTATACAAGTACGTACCAACGATGAAAAACAGGGGTTGCATCAGGGCATGAAAGTCAGGATGGCTAAAAATACAAGATGGAAAGTAGTGGGAAAAGCAGGAAGTGGAAAAAGACCAATCAATGAGCTAAGAATACTGGTGTTCCTGGGAGCAAAAAGAAGAAAATGTAATGAGAAGAACAGAAACGAATGGTTCTCATGCAGTCCATGTATAGAAAATAGACAAAACGGCTGTGCAGCGAATGACATGTGTGTACACGGGGTAGAGAATGCATAGTAAGGCAAGCACAGCTGTTAGCCAGGCTGTGATGTCGTGCTATACATTCTCTGAGATAGCGAGTGGATATCAAGATTGATGAGGCATCGTGAATAAGAGGGTATGGCAAGGAGGAGAAAGAAGAACAATGAAGAATAAGACCGGAATCAAAGTGAGGTCCTGGCAGGTCAGAGCACATAGATTCCGAAGGCACAACCGAACACAGTGTGTGTCATATCCAGCAGGCCTATTCAGGTTGCTGAATTGGCTGCCGCACCTTCCCAGCGTCTCGGACAGCCCTCATAAACCCATCTTCGTTGCCTGCAGCAGTAAGAACCCAATAATCACCAACGCCGGGGTTCTCGATCTGCCCACCACCAAAGCCAGCCGCAGGAGGGGCGCTGTGTCGCTCTTTGGGTTTCTGCATGTTTGCTCCGTGGTTGTGGGGACCCCAGCCCAGCACGTCGCGCACAGCAAGACGGGACTGTTCGTCAGTCTGGTGGAAGGAGAACAGCTGGGCCTGGAGACAGCCCAGAATGGCGACGGCAGAGCGGATCATGATGCGGTCGCCCTCGAAGACCCAGCAGTCCCAGACACGGGAGATGCGCTCGAGATCTAGCCCGTTTGTCAGCAGCGAGCGGAAGATCGGTTCCCAGATCTCTGCCTCGGAGAAGTGGAGGGTCTCGGTTAGGTGAGTGTGTAGACGGGGAAACTTGTAGCGCAAGGTGTCTGAGGCTAGTGTGTAGGAGCGGGCCATGGCGCCACGGTCCCAAGTGAGGAACGCGACGGGCAAAGGACGGTTGAGGGCATTGGCCATGGCGAGGAAGGCGGAAGCGGGGGTGGGGAATTGCAAAACAAGGAGAGCAGCGATGGTGTGCAGGCCGTGGATGTAGCCCACGTCGCTGCGATACATGCAGTATGCTTTCAGGACGTCAATGAGGGTTCCCCGTAGGGGACCGCCTTCTTGGAAGATGTTCAGATCTGGGAAGGCCTTGGGCACGTCTGTTTCGATTGCCTCGAAGCAGTCTAGTAGTCGTTTGGTGTTCTCGCTTTCTCCATCCTTCTTGCTTTGGAGATCCTTTGCTCGACAAAGCGCTTTGGTGAAGGTTTCCTCGGTTAATGCTAGTTCGTTACCAATGGCTCGCTCCCATATGTGACCCCGATTGCGAGGCGGGATTCCACGCCACCATAACTCGCGAATTCGGGGCTCGCGGAGAGCGCGGTCCCAATTTGGATACACATATTCATCCCAGATGTTCTGCAGTGTTGCTCGGGTGTTGTCCTTTGCACACTGCTCATTCGCAACTTTAGCAGCTTTGCGTTTCTCTGAAATACCAATTAGAAGACCGACAATACTTCGGGGATTCTGTCTTAGCACATACCGATTTCTCGAGACTGGGCCATCATTTGCTGATACTGTTTCAGGTGTTTTTTCTCCTCCTTCTGATCCTTAGGCGGAAGCCAGCTTGGGCGTGTCCGCGAGAGGACCTTCTCTTTCTCTTTGCTAATTGGCAGCGGATCGATCATGATATTTGATTTCTGTAGAGGCGGCAAAGCGATAGCATCACGAGATGCGTGATGCGAGTCCTCGCTGGACCCCCGCGAAGCTCCGGTTTGAACATGCTCTTCCCGCTTGCGATCTCTATCATCAGCATGAAGCTCCAGAGCTTCAGTGATGATCTTTGCTTCCTCGGACAAGTCAGATAGATAACTATTATATGAGTAGGTGCGAGGGTTGCGGGGCGAGAGTTGTCCACGCTCCGGTCCTGCGGAGCTTGATCGCTGTATACGCTTCATGCGGGATGCCTTGGCCGTGTTGGGTGACGGTGGCTTATCGGTTTCAGCTACGGTGTGCTGGATAGGCAGAGGTCGCCGTCCGGGGCTGCGACCATTTGGGCTGGCAGACCGTGATGGAGCCCGCTCTTGGGCTGGGCGGGGAGAAATAGGAATATTGAACAGACTTGCATCGTCAGGTAGTTCATCGTCCGAGTCATGGTATTCTTCCTCCAGGTCTTTGAGCGACTTGCGATTCGGGTGCCAGGTTTGTTTATGGATGGGCACTCGTGCAGATAGCGGAGACAAAGCTAGGCTAGTGCTCGAGGTTGAGTGACTAGATGTTGGCCGTAGTGGTGAAACAGATCGTGAACGGCGAGCTTGCGCTGGTGTCAAACCAGGCGACTGCAATGTGTTGCTCGAATGTGTCCGGTTTGCAGCTCTTGCCGTGAGGGAGCCTGCCGGCCCATTGGTAGACCCACCGTGAATCGGGGGTAGGGGGCTTCGCTTGCGGGGCTTCGGGGTTGCGGTCAAGTCGCGAGTTGAGACCGCAGGGACTTTGCTTGACATTCTGGGGGCGGGCGACCGTGCCTTCACCCCAGAGCGGCCGTAGGAGCCTCGTGGATTGGCGTATGACAAGTCGGTATCATCTTCCAAGCCAATGTCTTCGAAATTCGAGATGTCCGTAAAGATACTATCCGGTCCGTCCAGGTGGGAGGAGGAATGAAACGAGGAGGATTTGGAGGATTTGGAACCGGAAAGCTCGGGGGGAGAATTTGGTGTCGGTAAAACGGTGGTCATGATCTCATGTAATTATTCAGACGTGTTGATCCCCCACAATTCTAATATGCCGAGAAAAAAAACACAGGGTGGGAGGAAATCAACGGGATGACCGGAAGGGGTCAACAACGAACGCTAAGACCGAGGTTTTTGGATGAGAGTGGTCGAGGGGATGTAATCGAGAAAGAATAACACCGCAATAGAGGTCGATTAACTTAGAAGCGAATTGCAGGCACAGCCGCAGCCTGATGAAATCCAGATCAGGTGTAGTCGTGTAAAGAGGGTTCAGGAGAGAAGATTACGGGGTAACCATTGGGGGTTAGGGGATTTGGAGCGTAAACAAAAAAGGTGAGAAATGAGTGTGGGGGAGTAGGCAGAAAAGAAGTAAAAAGATTCAAACGAAAGACGAAGACAAGGAAAAGTCCAAAAGCGAGTGAAAAAGAAGAAACGGTGATGCTGAAGACTGCAAGCGGAGAGCCTCAGGCAGTGCCGCACTTGGTCTGGCCGAGAACAGGGGGGTACTTCGGCGATACTTCACGACACTAGTACCAAAAGGGGTGGTTGAGAAGTACCGATGAAGTATTCAATACATTTCTGGAGACAAACCGATCTCTGCCTAGATGGGAAGGGATAGACTTACACAGCTTGATCTGAACCCCTGAACCATGATCTCTTTCAGGTCGGATTTAGTCGGAAATAGTCGGATTTGTGCCCAATGCCAGCTGGATAGATGTGGCACAGTATGCAATGTTTAATTGGAGGAGATAGTGTACAATAGTACAATAGTACGATAGTGCGATAGTACTGAGTACAATTGTACAAGTTGAGAGCGATTTATCATACAATTACAATGATGATTCGGATCTGCAGACATTCCACAGTCCAGCACTCTAGAACTATTCTAGAACCGCCATTCCTCAAACATCGCATTTCCCTTCTTCACCACCTGCGTCATCCTTAAAGCCTCGGAATCTGATGTGGGTCGAGCATCTTTGATCAGCGAGTCTAGCCAGTGGAGCACCACCGCATACCGTGTTTGCTTGCGCTTCAAAACAAACCGAAACGCCGCAGAAGCCAGATACTGCAGATGGCACCGCTGGACAAAACACGAAAATGAAGACTCCGAATTACCAGCACGCCGGGCCTTGATCGTGCCGTTCGTCTGCGAAATCAGATCGCGGATAGTCTGTGTTATGATCGCAGGGCCGGGGTGCGCACGGCCCCGAAGTGACTTCATATAGCGGTACATCTTCATGGCAGAAGTGATGAAGCTGCAGTAGAGGTTGGCTAGCACAACTGCGCGCGAGTTGTGTCCATCATCGATGTACATGGCATGTAGCTGTAGGCGGAATGAGGAGAGCACTTTGCGGTGAAAGGTGCGGCCGGGGAGGTGGGACGCCTCAACAGTTAAGGTGTTGGAGAGAGTAGCAGCAGCTGACTCGCCGCCCTCTAGGATGCGATCTCGATCGCGGTGGAATTCAAGCGTGTGGGTGTCGATGAGACTGCCACAATACGGGAATAATGAGGTCCCTTCTAGTCTGGGGAGCAAAATCCCATCAACTGCGGCGCTGAAATTGGTCATGCTTTTGGCTGGATTGACTTGTACGCCGTACGCTGGTTGGCCTCGGATCATTACCTCCAGGAAATGCATTGCTACGGCTGCATCTGGTGTGATCAGGAGGAAGTCGTCCACCAGTCGCAAGAGTAGAGAATTCTCAGGTTTGATGAAACCCAGTATCTTTCGCTCGAGCTCTGCGTAGAAGAAGTTGCAAAGGATGCTGGATAGCACAGAACCTTGAGGGATGCCGTTGCGTTGGCGGAAATATTTATTGCCTATCTTCACGAGGTTGTGCCGGACATGTTCATCGAGGAGGGCCAGAAGACCATCAGCATCATGTTCTTTTTGAGCTTTAGAGTCAACAAAAACGGTATTGGACTTATGCACCGTACCTCCGCTGTTGACATAATCGGGTAGGTGTTGTTGTTTCCTCGCGGGCGCAGCGCGGCTCATAAATCTTCGTGTGGGTTTCCCTTGTTGCGCAGTTGGAGCGGGTGGTTGGAATTCGGTGTGCTTTGAGATGTGGTAGCTCTCTTCAGAGACCAACTCTTCGATCAGATCAAGCAACCTTTTCTGGGGGATGGTATCAAAACAAGCTTTGATGTCAAGCTTGACAAAGTACATTGGTGGGAGCTTGGATCGCGAAGGGTTAGAGACCGAGGGCAGCCGTTTGGACAATTGTTCTTTGTACGCCTTCAATCGGCGGTGCATGTCTCCAATTGAGAGCATCGACGAGCCCAATTTGGCAGGAGTTTGCTGGCGCTCGTAAGTCAACATGTTATATATAGGCGTAATGCTTGTATTGATGCTAGCGGCAAGGTACGTGGGCTGTTTCCCCCATGTTGATTGCTTCAAGGCTCGTTTCCGAAGATTCAAGATGGGCCGGAGGCCTGTAGATTTGGGAAGCAAACGGAGAGCACCGAAACCAAGGGACCGCCGTGCTAGCACCCGTTGGGCTCGATCTGGTTCGAGCTCCTCGAACATCGTTGCCTTCAATTCCCCGAAAGGTTGCTCAGTCAAATGCTGCCACAGATCATGGCGGAAATAGAAAAGGCGGTTTCGGTGCGTTTGAGACTCGGTGACATAGAAGTGCGAACGAATGAGAGAAATAAGAATTGAATCGAAAATCCAAAACATGAATTCATGAAGTAGTTCGGTGCGTTTGTGCAAGTCAGACAGGGCGACTTTCGACCTTGTCTTAGATGGTGAAGTAGTCTGGACCTGGGGTGGCTCTAGCCAAGGAATGCTTGTTATCTAGCTTGTGAATTAGTACGGCTTTGTCTCAGACGATCAGTCCAGTGCAAACGATGACCAACCTTGATACCTTTGCAGACTTCATGCAGACTTAGACTTTCGAATCGGCGTAATTTGATAAACCGGTCGACGTGTCTGAGAACAAGCTTTAAGTTCGAAATACCATCCGGGCCAACCCCCCAAAACTGTCGGGGGATCAATTTCTGGATCACCGCTCGACAAAATGCTGAGACAGAAGACGCCGGAGTCGCATATTCAGTTAGACTGACTTGGGTTTTTTGAATTACCGGTTTCCCGGCATCAATTCCACAAGATGCGCCGACAGCCATGTGCGGCTCTAATCTGGTCTGCACCGAACTATCACTTGGTGACGAGTGGTTCATTTGAATCTGTGATACTAAATTAGACTGGAGAGACGAGATAGGCTCGCTTTTTTTGGCATCAGGTGTGGAGGCAAATGCGCCAAGTCTCCCGGGTCCGGTTTGCTGCCAAAGGTCAGCTACATAATCCTTGCCATTGTAAACAAAAGTGTCTCACTTCGGTTGGACAATAGTATCGCAGCAACTCTTTGTAGGAGCATTGTGCATTGCGGTTCCGGAGCTTCCGGACGAGCTCTATGGTAATTCCACGAAGCCTCTTAGGTACCTTGATAGTTCTCTCGCCTCCACAATCTGCGTCTGCGAATTCAATCGGGGGCTGGGGCCGCTGTAGTCGTTTCTCCTCTTCCAGACGAGATATCTCACTCTCACGGAACATGAACCTCTTCGAGTCATCCATGCTATTGCGGCCATCTGAGTCCAGATTGAATACATTCAGCAGGCCAAATTGTCGGGGAAAGATGTACTTCATTACATGGACTGTTTGCGCCATCGAATCAAGCGATGAGAAGCGGCTAAGAACATCTAAAGCGAAGATTAGCACAAACATGAAATTCGATACTCAAATGACGAAGCACGTACGTGTCTGTCCTAGTCCAGAGGGTACTTTCTTTTTGGACTCGACACGTCCATAGAGGATACGCCGCCGTAGAAACACAATGCTGTTTGGGCTTTGGATTGCCTTCTTGGAATTCCGTTTGCATTCAGTTTTCTCTTTGGGGTGTTTCTGACCAGTGACAGACATTGGGTCTTGATCTGTGGCAGCAGACCCATTGGTTACCAAGGACGCATTGCTCAAAGGCTCGAGGACCGAGAGAGGCAGACCTAGAAAAAGATCAGCAAATCAGGTCCAAGTATCTCTCTACATCTTGACAAAACCATACCGCTGAGTTGGTAGTATATGCCCTTTCGAGCGTTAATAGGGGCAAAAATTCCACAATCGAAAAGGAGCTGCATCATGATTTCCTCGCCATTACTACCAAGCAAGCCAAGGACCTCTGCCCATGCACCCTCTTTGAGAACCCGGACATTCTGATTCGGAAATTGAGACACAATGCCTGGGACATTAGTGTGTTGAGCGTTTAGCCCATTATACGGGCGTTGGAAGCCATGCGTCAGCAAATGCTCGGGCTTTTGGTAGGTGCCATTGTTATGATTGAAGAGTTTCCAGATCACAAAATCAACCACCTGCAACAAGGATCAGCTGTCTAATACCTAGAAATAATTCAGCTGCCATGGACGCACCTCAGACTGCGGACAAGTCGGCCCCGTATCGGTGCTGACGAGAATCGACCGCGATTGAGACTCATTAAAAGATGAGTATTGCTTTTGTCGCTCCAAATTGAGGGTCGGGGAAGATTCCTTCAGCACACCTACCAGAGTGGAGTCTAGTAGCTCCGCAAATGTTTGAGACTGTGCATTGGAGTCCTTGTCTTCACGCGAGTCTAGTGTCAGGATGCGACGCCGACGTGATTTGGAGGTCACGGGAAGTTGCTGGAGCAGGTACTCCCGCAAGGATACGACATGCCGGTAGTACAGGGAGATAATGGGATGGTCTATTTTTGTCTTCAGGGAAATTGACGCATAGGAGGTTCTGAAACGGCGGGGAGATGCGGTGATACCCATGTGAGACGAGGACGTGGGCCCGCGGTCCTTGATGGGCCTTTTCCGCTTTTTGCCCATGCTAGGCGATTAGATGTGTAAAAAAAGAAAAAATTCAGATCCCTGTACGGAGTAGTTTGGTTTACTCCATTGCGTGTCAATATGTTTAGGCGACGAGTCCCCAATGACGCGCGCGACGCGTCAAGCTTCCAGGGCAAAGAAGTTCGGATAGGCGAACGCTCTCTCGTTCGAATTCGGGCACCTTCCTTATATCCGTACTTTTTTTTTACAGGTCGATGATCATCTTTTGATCTGAATGCTCTAGTACATAGGTACATAGATGTAATAGAAACTTCATGAAACCAGGAACAGGAACCAATCAAGGCTACCAATTAAACATCGAAGCGAACCATGGAACGGGCGGTCTAGATACCTGGCCATTGCGTCTCCACTGCGTCATCCATGGGTCATTAATCTCGTTCCTGAGGATGTTGAGGTACAATATTTCGTATTTTGTAATTTGTACTTACTATGTACATTAGTTACAGTATTGTAGATGTTATATAGGTCTAAAGTATTTCACTACCTACAATGTATACAAAACTACAAGAAGACATTAGTACCATGTACATAGTTACCCATATGGTACAGTACAGCCTTAAAGAGAACATCTGCCCTATGACAATGAACAAAGACAAAGAAATCCAAATTCATGAAATCCACCAAATCCACCCAAATCCAGTTTCACCTTAAACCTATCATCCACTAGTCCCCATTTCTTTCTTCATTTCTTCATTTCTTCTCTTTCTTCATCCCGAATCTTGTCCTCGAACTCATCAAATTCTTCCATTTCATCCATCACAATATCGTGTTCAAAAATAGATCGACACTGTAACTTCAACTCGTCACTAGTGTAGGTCAGCCCGTCAAAACGGATTGGCCCGGAGAACTAACAAACTGGCCCACCAGCCCTTAACTACCAGGTCCTATCACCTATCAGCGTCCACTGCTGCTAGACAAAACGTCAGTCCTGAGCTCGACCCTCCTATTTGTTCTTCCCCTCGCTACAGTGTAATTTCGGCAAGCGGCCGATCCTCGATCTTACCTCTCTACCCTTCTCCGATCCCCCCGATCCGAACTTCATCCAACCTTTTCGATTTAGGTTCGACGGGGGACATATCCCCTCGATATCGGTCTTTTTTTTTTTGTCTTGCAAGTGTCTCAAATATGAATGCTGAATGGGTGTGCGCCACCCGAGAGGATTGCTTTGTAGCCTGAATCGACTCACCTGCGACATTCCCGTTGGGCGACCATCCCGGAACAACGCACCAGCTCAACCCGCCCAGAACTGAAAGGCCGCGACCAGTCCACGTCGACCTGTCGGCCTGAAGCATGCAATATGTCTGGCGGTGACGAGCAGGGTTTTGATGTCCGGTATCGCGACCCGCCTCCGTTTGGGCGACAATCGTCGGCTCCGCCATTTGGCCAGTCTGTCAATGGTCACACTACCACTTCTTTAGGTGACTCGCCGACCGTCTCTTTCCCCCCCCAGGCACAATCATCGACCACGTATTCTCCACTACCGTCGGGCTTCATTCGACCCCATAATTCCTCCACTTCCACCAATCATCTGTCGGGCGATCAATTGGAAGATCGTAGAGGCCGGGAGTCTCCAGACCCTGCTGACTATTATCGCCAGCGTGGATCCCTGCCAGGCACTGCATCCAATGTAAGAGAGGGGTTCGGCGATGTAAGAACGAGCATGGCTACGGCCGACTATTCTGCAGTTGGTGACAAAGTGTCACCCCTGCCAACAAACATGTTGGAGTCATCGCGCACTAGACGTCAACCATACCGTTCAACCTCAGATTCTCCAACCTTGGGAGCTCCCTCGGCCAACATACCCCCATTGCACGCGAACGCAAGGTCACGACAGCCGTCGTTCAAAGATCTTGTCAACAAGTTCAACAAAACCTCTGATCAGATCCTCCCTTTGCCAACCGTTTCTCGTTCAACCTCACGAGCACCGAGTCCTTCTGGAAGTGTTGACGGAGAGCGAAATCGGGTGTTGCCACGGCGTCGTCAGTATCGTGATTCTCTACCAGAGTCAATCACCAGCATTCATCGAGCGTCGATTGATTCGACCCCATCGTCCCCAGAGACAGATAGATTCAGACCGCCCCTAGACACCAAGAGTGCTATTCCACCGCCTCTGTTCCAACGGATCACGGAGTCGCATCCTCGTCGCCCATTGTTTAGTGAACTGTTGCCGATCAACACACAATTGAACAACGGGGTCATATCGCGCCTACAACAACGCCGCGGGTCGGATGGAAGTATTCCAAGCCCGAACCCAGCCTTTTTTGAGCATCGCGATCAATATCCCACAAAAACACCCCTCACACCCACTGCGTGGTATCTTGGACACACAACTTCTTTAGAGGCAGTCCACGTCGGGATAAATAACACTGGCAAACATCGCCGGGTTCAAAGTGACTTGGACAAAATAAGAGAGCCCCTTGCAGAACCGTGGGATCCTGAAATGGCGGTACCTGCGCCCTTGCTGCGGACCAAGCCCGATCATAGATCGCCCTCGGGTAGTCCCAATTCCAAGTCTCGCATTCCTGTCTCCTCGCACCGTCTCGTCACTGCTTCCGGTCCCGAAAGCTTATCACCATCCTCCAATCCAACCTTCAGCAGCCGATCCGCCGCCATTACCTCGCCGCCCAAGGGCAGTAGCCGCCTTCCTATTCCGTCACCTAGACAGTCTCCTCCCCGCATGCCAGCAGACGATCCCGCTTTGTTCGCGACAACCTCGCGTGGTAGACGGGATCAAACAATCGGCCGAACCCGTAATCAATTATCCGAATCCAGTCGGCGACTTCAGGCCTACATCGCTGAGCCGCCGCCTAAAAAGTCGCCTCCGTTGCGCAGTTCCCGACCCCGACAACCCGTCTCACATGGTGCCGCGGTCTCCCCACGGTCCAAAATCGGAGATCGAGTTTTAAATTTACAAAAACACGCCACCCACAGCGACTCGCGGTCTCGTTCTGAACGTAAATTACCTGAATTGGGCAAGGTTGATTTTGACGCTCGTCGCCGGCATATTCAACAGGCAATCAACCGACACTCGGGTGTTCCGGAGAATCAGAATGACAGAGGACCGGACAAATCAGCTGCCGCAAAGCTTCGACGTCACGCTTTGGTCCGAGAGCAGGAGACGCATGAAGATTTCAAGCAATTGATGGATGAACCTACAATTACCCCTAACCTGCCTGTGACCAACCCCCCGTCATCCGACGAGATGGCGACTATGGTCAAAGAATCGATCGGCTCGGTCGAGTATAAGGAAAGCAGGGTTCAAGCCGTTCCTAGGCTGCACCTCAACACTGCCCTCCCGGCTTCGGATATGGCAGCGCCCCATACAACAATGGACTCTCCCACTCTCGGCCTCCCACATGGTATAAATTCAACGAATCCAGGTGAGGGACAGGCTACCAATGAAGACGCGACACGATCAGGTGCCACATCAGACTCCGACAGTACCCATGTCACTACTTTTGATCCGGAGCCGCAGACCGGGCTGTTGCAGCGCGACCCCACCGTTTCTCATCGAACTATCCTGGAACAAATAATGCAGATCCGCGGGTCCAGCCCGAGCGACGACTCATGCGACGAACCTGATTGCAGTCTCTCAGAGAACGACGACAGAGAGTCCATTCGCATAATGCTTGGAGATACGACCTACTACAATTCATCTAGTAGCACGAATACTCAAGAGCCTGAGCGTGCAGCAATGCAACGGGCTCAAAATGGAACTCATCTTCACAACCGATGGAGCATGAGTTCATGGTCATCTGGACAAAATCAACATTCCACCTGTGACGAGCAGTGTGACGAGAGTGGGGATGATTCTCTGCTACGAGACCGTGAAACGGAACCACCAACCGAAACTTGTTCAGCTGTATCAACAAGGCCGGCTTCAATAGCGGACGACGAACCACCTACTTCAATTCAGGATCACGGCGTAATGGGACCGAATACACTTCAGAACCCCGAGCAATTTCGATCCAATGCCTTCTCTACTCCACCAAACTTGGCTAGATTGGGCAGATGGGACTCAAAGCGTGTCACTCAGCTATACCTGGAGGAGTTGACGCGAGGCAGGAGCCATCACCCTGGCTCATCAATCCATCCCTCATCCGAGCCACGATCTCATCCCACGGATACACGTACAGATGGACGACCCGATAGTCTGACCGACGATCCAGTCGTCGTGCCAGGATTCAAGGATTTCCAGGCATCAGATAGACTCTCACACACGGCTAGTTTGGTTGGGCGTGATGATTGGGAACATGCATCTCCCTCCATCATGGACTGGATGCAGATCGCGGCTGAAGATGATGTCTTGACCCCCAACGCTGAGACCGATGGCATGCGTACTGAAGGGGTGCTCACGCCCCGTCTGGTGCCTTCGACACTTCAGGACGCTGGCGCATCGAGTACGAACAGTGGCCTTGGAGTCTCTGTTGATGTCCAATCTTCCAACGAGCCGCCTCAGCCTCATGTGTTTTCTTCACCGGCATTCCTCCCGCCCTCAACAACGCATCTAGCCGACAATGAACCTCTTGGAGGCCAGCCATCGGGCTACAATGGACTCAATCGCAACACACAGGCTGCTCCTGGAGCTGCGGGACACAGCCCGGGCAGCAGTCAGGACTCTTCTTTCCGAAATTTGGAGTCTATTCAATCAACTGTGGCCGCTGACTCTTCCGCTACGTCACTTGTTCCGTCTACTGAGCAGACCATTCGGGTTGAGCCGAAGAGTTCTCCTTCTCCAGAACAACGACGTCTCAAGAAGCGGCGTCATATAATCAAAGAACTTGTTGATACCGAACACACCTTTGGTCATGATATGATAATCATTGAGGACATCTACAAGAGGACCTCGCTCACAGTATTGGAACCCGATGATGTCAAGGTTCTCTTCGGCAATTCCGATCAAGTCGCGGCCTTCTCCGACAAGTTCTTGTATGATCTCAAGCAAGCAGCTCAAAGCATCTACGTCATACCGAAGGCTC